CGTAACGCGTGTATCGCGACTGATGAGTCACTGAAACTATACATCATCTTGTATTCATTTTTCGCAAACTTGCATTTTACACATCATCGCATTACACGACATTGTTGAACGGTAAAGAAAGTTGACGCTGACGTATTTGTACAGGATTGCGCGATACTTCGAGCGGTTTTCTTCAAAAACTTTATGCGAATTTATGATGCTTTAACACTGCTAGAGAAGAGCAGTATAAAGAATAACAGAAAAGAGCAAGCAGAAGAAAAGCTATACGAAACTTTTTACTATTCTCTGTTGTGTCATTATTTAATTTGTTAGATAATTTATCTTCTTGATAAAAATTGAAAAAGACAAAAATTCACGCTTAAAGATTAAGGCTTTTATCTTAGTTCATATATCTTTTGAATTACGTTTAGATCTTCAAATTCGTAATTAAAAAACTTACAATAAACAGGTTTGGTCTCTACAAGACCGAATTCATCGATGAAAACGGTATAAAATTGAATGATGACATAAGAATCAGTTATATTTTTGATATAATAATTTAAAGAATAACAATCACGTCCACATGCGAAGCTCCTCGGCCTAAAAGTCAACCTCTCGAAAATTTTATAAATAATTCTAAAATTTCGCTTCAAGATCGTCCATCGACGATGAGAAACGATTCGGAACGTTTTCGAGGTCGAAACAAGTTTCATCAGGAATGTGGTGTTATTTTCGGTATGACGACCTGAAGAACTCTGAATATTTATAAATGCCGTGGAGAGCACGAGAGACCTGCGACTAGATTTATCTCCCTGACATTTTACTGAGAGACATGAGAAAGCCGCGTTATTGACGCATATATATAAACACTCGTGAAGTACCTTTCTGCTTCACGGATCTCCACGATCCTGAGATTCCCGACAGTTATGGCACATTATTCGCAGAATTCTGGATCCTAGCCAGATTGCTGACACGGACAGACTCAGAGTCAGATAACGCGAGCAACAGCATTTTTGCATTTAACCTGATTATAGCAATTACCTACATGTTCTATCTTTTTTCATTATTTTATTCTGCACTTTTAATTTAATTCACGTTGCTTCATCTTTAATTCTTTTAATTCCATATAGATTGCATGCGATTATTGTACGCTATATCGCTGCGATTCTATTTCAATCTCAGAAAAAATTCCATTCTAGAATATAAAAAAAATATTATCGCTTGTACAATAATAACTGCGTACGCGTTTTCTATTTTTAAGCAACCAAGCCTGTCGGAACACATCAATGATACTAATTTCTACACTCTCAAACCAAACCAAAGCCACGTCAAACGCGTCAAACCCACGCGGCCACGACGTCTAGTTTAGAGAAGCACAATATGTTTAACCCAAATTTTTTTCCGTCCCGTTTTCTCATCCATTTTAACCGAGGCACCGTGAGCATTCTTCCTCTGCACTTTAATCTGCGTGCACGCAGGAAATAGTCGAGCAGCGAACAATTACTATTAGCCGGATGAAATATTAGCGCGATGGTCGGCGCTAAAGCGCGACGCCGCGCTGTTTGATTTACGAGCATAGGTAGCATCTCTATTTCTCACACGGGAAATGTTTCTCTTCTCATAGCGACGATGCGAGAGATGAACTCGGGCTCGTTTAGCGCGGCTTGGACCAAGCGGTTCGCTTTTATGACGAAGATGCGCGGTATAGGTATAGCCCGGGAATTTCATCGAACATCGGCTCGGTTATCGAAATTGCAATGTCTACGTCGGGGACAAGGGGACATTGTTCACCGCGAGCATTCTATTAATTGGATGTTCCCGCGTCAAAGAGCGTATTTGCCTACAGAACGATCAGATATTCAATTTCCGTTATACTCAGCGCCGAAAGGACCAAATGCCGAAAAAAATCTTTGGGTTAATATGATATTCGGCAGGAACACAAACACACGCGACGTTCTACTACGTTTGGTAATATTAATTTGTTGACTCATTTCGATAATTCATCAAACTTGAGACTTTGTTTCTCATAATTAATTTCCCACTTACTTCACTACGGCATAAAGCCCTTTATTTACTTGGGGCATCGTATTTTTTGCATTTTGCTCGATGGGAGTTTGCGAAGGCGGTCTATTTTAAGCTGGGAAGAATGTTAAAAATCGATTGAAAGCGTGCTAAATATAATGACACTGTATGCTGATTTAATAAGTTGGATTGTATATAAATATAATGTTGACATGCATTTATGCAATTTAATATAAAGAATTGACGAAATTTATAATAATAATATTTTATGTTATTAGTTTATTTCTCTCATCTTCATCATTTTCCAGTTTCAAAATAAATAAATTTACATTTTCTTTGAACAGAAATTAAACAGCTCTCTTGTGTTTTGTGTGTATATGTGTGTGTTGCACTATGGAATACTTTAGAAATTATATTAATTATAAGTTTATTACCGACATTTAATATGCGAATAATACCGTATTCGTTATGTAAATGTGTATTTCATAATACCTATAATCTATAATATAACAAAATGTAAACATGTGTATATTAATTTTACCTTAAGATCAAAATAATCGAAATAATTAAAATATGTATAGAGATTTAAAATCAAAATAATGAGAAATGGAAGTTGCAGAAATATATTGTCATATTCCACGTCTATAAGCGTTACGCTAATTAATGCCGACGTACTGCAGATGTGATCTGCGCAAGGAAGGCGCGCGAAGACGTATACGCATCGGGATGCGTGCGTGCGGTTTGCTTTTTATCTTAAGCCCCTTGCACAAAACTACAGCTTTGTCGGTAACTTTGTCGCTATCGCTATCGCCTATTGTGGAAGGGGCTTGACAACCGCATATTGCGTGGCAATAGAAGAATGATAAGCGGATTTAATAAGAAGAATGATAACATTTTATTAGCATGAGATTTTGCACACATTATTCGTATATTTTTTCATGGTGCATGACTATAAGGAAACACTAGCCAACTTGTACGTTGCAAATGCATAAAAATGATTTAATTGTTTAATATTTATGATCGTGATATTTTCCATGCATCTAGAGATGGCTTTTTAAGTCTATTCCAATTTTTCCAGATGATAGAAAGTAAACTATCTTTTTACTTCCATTTCCATCTTAATACGCACATTTGCGATGGAATGAGTGCGAGTGTCTTGAATTAAAAATTAAATAATTTCTCAGAAATCGTCCGAAAATATACACTACCGCTCAAAAGTATTTGCCACTTTAAAGAAAATTTTATTAGAGAGGAGTTTATTAATAAAATTTTAATAAAAAGATCTATAATTTGCTACATGTCTTTATTGCATAGGTAGTTACATGTAACTTAAACAATATTAAGAATTGATTTGACAAGAAAATAACATTATTTTAAATTTTCGCCTCATCAATGCGTGGCTGTTACGTTTTTTTATTACAGCCTTACACAGTTAGCATCCTGTTGATTAATTTTGTAATTGATTTTTGGCTTCTAAATACACCAACGTGTTCCGATAATCTCGGAAAATGTATTTATTATTTGAGATTTTTCATATACGCAAAATAATTACGTAAAATTAGGAAGTAAGGGATTAAGAGATAACAACATAACATAGTTTTACAAGGTAACAATGAGTACATGCCATGCAATAATCTCTACTTTAAAAGTTTGCTGCAAAAAACTAGAATTTTTTCTATTTTTCTTGGGGTGGTAAATACTTTTTGGCGATAGTGCATATTGTATCTCTACCAATACCTAGGTAATAAATTTCTTAACTGCGAGCATATAACGTCAAGATTAGAAATAATTCCTAATTTTTCCTGGTAATATATGTCATGCGTACGTTTCGCGTTAAATCCACAGAGAAGTTTACTCGCGTTATCACTTTGTAGTTGTAAAATTATTCGAAGCGATCACGTGCGCATCCACGATAACGACGAGTAACTAAATGACAAGATTTATCTCACTTTAATATTACGCTTGAAATTATCAATTCGTTTCTGACCACGGTAAATTGTAATTAATGTTTAATAACGTTATTATAGCAATTAGTGGAGCCCGAGCGACGCGCACGTATGCTCGATGTCGTGTATGTGTTCGGAATTATAATTTAAATTCAATCTAACATATATTCTAATACATACTCATGTAACCTCGCATCTGCGAGCATGCAGCAAATAGTTTCCAAAAGAAAGACAGAGAGAAAGACAATGCGGAAGAAAAAAGGATTTTTTCGCGTTCTTATGTCCATTTCCACCAATGCGGATTACCTTTAATCCCGATTTAACTTACTTTTTATTCCTTTTTAGCTGTAAGACTTAGAAAGACGTCATACGTCTCGATTTGAGACATTATGTTCACTGGAGAACATCAGAAATGTTTTGCTCCGTTCAAATCGCGGCACCCCGTCTCTTTCTCCGCGAAAATACCGGTTTTATTAACATTACAAGTTTTTTGCAGCCGTATCGAGAAAGACGCGATGCCATCCCGCCAAAGGCGCATTGCGTGCCTCCCGAAGGCGCGCGCGTGTGATAAAGAGCCCGCGGTCGCACACGCTAGCGGTTCGGAGGAGGGCACTCGTGCCGCAGCTAGCGTACGCTTTAAACGAGAGTGGGAGAAGCAGGATCTCGGGGACCTCGTAACACATGTTATCGCAGCTATCGCAAGACCGCGAGTAGGTCGAGGGGTGGATACCTGAGCCCGGCAATATCAAATATCAGTCTCTGATCCGCACGTATTCAAAATAAACCGACGCGCGCCGGCTTCGAGGTAGGTAACCGAGCCCCCCGCCACCGGGGGGCCCCCCTCGTTCGGTCCGTATATGCTCCGATACTCCGAATACTCGAAAACGGGGAAAGAGGAGGAAGAGGAGTCTCCACCGGGCGGGATCGCCGAAGGGCTCCTGCAGTGCAGTCCTGCAGGCCGCGCACGCTACGCAGGTGTGGTTCGCCGTGCCCTACATGTCAAAGGTGTGTGAGCGCGCGCTCACTCTCTCTCTCTCTCTCTCTTTCACTCACCTTTCGGCACCTCCTCGTCGTGGCGGTGGTTAGCATGCGGCTCGTCTCGCACCACCTCACGACGAATATCGCCCGGCACGATACCGCTGCCATTTCGTCGCCGCTGTTGAGAAAACCGGCTGCACCTTTCGTCTTTCGTCCTCGTCGACGCGAGGATGCACCCGCCGCACCACCGTTTCGCTCTTCCCTCGCGCGCGCACGAGTCTCGACGACCGACGGGGACCGGGGACAACAAACGTTCCGCCTGCCCTGCCACCCGCAGACCCGCAGTGCGCGTGGCTTGAGCGAACCGACAACCGGCTACGAGCGACTAACGTCCGCGACGGACGGGCGGCATCGGCGGCGCGCCGCGGACCCGAGACGCAGACGACGCAGACGTCGCAGACGAGACCCCGACCTTGCGGCGCGGCGGCGTGACATACCGCAATCCGCATGCGCGCCGTGCCGCGCTCGACGCGCATTGGCCGAGCGGCCGGGACGCTGCCGCTCGCGGCACGTTTGGATTTTGGTTGGAACCGCGATGACCGCGAGACCGCGACTCGTCCGCGGAGACATTGCTTCCGGGATTAACGTGTTCCCTATTGTTTCCTATTGCCCGCACGTCGCGCATACACACGCAAGTTGTCGACCGACGCGTTGATGGAACTTCTACATAGCTTCCTTTATTTTAAGGAAACAAAAAGACTTTTTAGACGTTCATTTCATCGACTACAATTGGCAAATAATCATCGTGACGATTCGACCATTGGTTTTGGTCCGATTGATCGTCAAGACGTTAATAATCTTTGATATTTATATATATATAAGCATCTTATTTTTTAATAATTTAAATTAAATTAAATTATTAATTTATTACGAAAAATATTACCTCGGCCAGGGTTCGAACCTGGAACCTCCCTCATTCCGTGTAGGGCGTCGTACCAATTCGACCACTGAGGCATGTGGTAATATTTATCGCAATAACACACTGAACAATAATAAGATGGAGACACACCGATATTTAAGTCGCGGTGTAAAAGACTTTTGAAAACAATATTCTAATATTATTAATCTACTGCCTTCACGGTGCATTCTTATCCGATTTTTAGCGAGATTTGTCTTTGCAGTTTCAAATTGATGAATGGCATATGTTTTTTCACGACACGTACGTCGGCGTCGGTTAATAACACTCTTTCCCTGTAATGACTATTTATACCAAAATTAAATAAAAACTCGAGCAAATTTTCAAATATATGAACTAATCGATTCGATAAAACAATAGACGATCAAACTACGCACGCTATTTCATTCAATTTCTCGTCAACTATCCCAACCCCAGCAGGAACGTCAATCCCGCGAAATGTATCGAATTTCGCAGCGTATCTCAACCACGACGAACGACGATATGATAACGTGACGAGGCGAGGCACAGAAGAGATACGCAACTCCAAAAGAAGAGATAATGTCGTCCGTTGATAGAGATTACTTCTACTATTACGATTACGCCATTCAGCCTCGCAACTATACCTCTACCTCCACCACGCACCTCCACTGGAACTCGCTGACTCGTCTCCTCTTGACGGTCCTGCTACGCATCGGCTTCGTCCTCGTTCAGATCGGCAGCGTGCCGGTCAACAATGTTAATCTGATACTCCTTCAAAATACGGTCGACCTGTGTTGCGTCACCGTCATGTACTTCCTAACGGGCTTCCTCGTCGCCTACAACGGCGACGTCGCCGGCCTGATCGGCGCGGGCCACTGGATCGGTGATCCAGCTATCGACAGGAACGAGGCAATTGTGGGGTGGCAGGCGGTGGCAATCGCTTCGGCGATTTGCACCACCGCCGTCGCGGGTAGAATGCACCCGGCGGGATATCTGCTGGTGGGTGCCCTCTTATCAGGCTTGATCCAACCGTTGCTCATTCACTGGACATCGTTGGGATGGATGGCGGAGAACGAATTAGGTGGAAGGACCGTGACTTTCAAGGACCAAGCCGGCGCGGGGGTGATTCATATCGTCGGAGGACTCTCCGGCCTGATCGGATGCGTCGTCCTCGGTAGAAGAATGTTCAGATTGAGAGACCTGGACGACGCGAGTATCACCCCTGGCTCCGCGGGAACTGTTTTCGGAGGTCTACTGTTGATCTTCGCCGGGCTTCAAGTAAATTGGTTGAATGCTAATAGGATAGGATGCTAATAGGATCAAATTTTAAATAGGACAATGCCCATTTCTGTCAATGCGGATTAACTTTAATCTCGGTTCAACTTACTTTTTATATTTTTCTAATTCTTAAAATTAAAAAAGGACGAAAAGTAAGTCGAACCGAGATTAAAGTTAATCGACATTGGTATTATAGAAATGGATATAACATAAGAGATATACCTCGTTTCTGATTATATCCTATTTAGAATTTACTGTTAATTGAACTCGGGGAAAAAATTTAAAGAAGTCACACTTGGTCATTATGAAAAATCGATCGACATAAATGGAAAATATTATATGAAGTTCGCAAAAAGATACTTCGTGACGATTTTTTAGATATCAGTTCCACAGAAATGCCAGTCAGCTGCATACAACGTTGCGTACATTTTCAGGATTTGTGCACGAGCGTGCACAACCGCGACAAGTACCGAACGTTCGCACGGGACCCGTCGCACGCGTACATTAACAACTTACTAGCCGCGTCCTCGTGCACATTGATAATCGTGGCCCTGCACTTGGTCCTCGGCCGTGAGACCTTCAATCATTGGACGCTAATGAGATGCGTTCAGGGGACGATCGCCGGCGTGGTGACAGTGTCGGCCGCGGCGAATGATTACTCGCCGCAAATAGCTATCGCATTAGGCTGCCTGGGAGGGATCGTGTTCTATCTCGTCTCCACGTGGATTTTTCGCAGCGCTCTGGAGGATTACTGCAACGTCGTAGGCGTACACCTCGTTTGCGCGATCCTCGGGAGCATCCTGGCCCCCTTCTGCTCTGTGCGCCTGGACGAGGATACCGTGACGATATTATTGAGTTTCTCCTGGCAATTAATCTGCTTGGCCGCGTTGCTGGCCTTAGTTGGTGCAGCGATGCTGCTGATCTTCGGTATGCTGGAGTGCTGCGGTATACTCCGTAATAGATCGGAATGCCTGAATCACGCGCGGGCCAACGCTGCTGTCGACAGAGGCCCGTCAAGGACGTTCCTGCAAAGAATCTTCTCCTCCGACAGTGGTTGCTTTTACCTGCAACCGGGCTCGACCTCCAACGCGGAACGTCATCCAAATGTCGACTCGAGATTTTGGAGGTATCGAGAAGGCGTGGATAAAGTCGAAGAAGGGAGGTCTATCGACACGAATAAATCGGATGCGAATGTCAAAATTGAAGATAATGTTACGAAGATTCAAGTGCCGGGTTGGTAAAATGTATAAAGTGCTATCTTTTACTCGATATCAATATTACAATCGCAATTTATTGCTCAAAAATATTCTCGCGTTTTATCTCGACTATTTCTTAATATTTTTTATTAATTATTTTAGCACAATTGGTGAGCATATAATTAAAAAATAGACTACCTGAGCAGTCCTAGCTTTGAAATACGTAAAAAATAAATAGTTTCTGATCTTTCCGGTAATAGAAATAATGTATTTATAGGAGCAAGAGTAAAGAAAGCGAGACAAGTGCATACTTTATCTGGAAGTACTCCGATGTTCATCGAAGATCAAGGTGGTACCGGTGAATCGATTGGCAAGGATCTTATGGAAATTGGAAGGAAAAGATTTCTTAAAAAGGAAATAACATATGCTCTAGATCCTATCGAAGAAATAGACGAAGAGCTTTCGAAAGAATTTGAAATCAAAGAAACCAGCGCTCAATCTAATATCGACGGTTATAATGCTGGGGACAAAAATCCAATCTTGACAGAACGTTTTAACATGTCTGGGGATCGAAGGGACTTGAACGAATCGAATTATCAGCTTCGAAGAACCATAAAATTGATGAATTTACATCACGAATTTGTCAAGGAAGATTTGAAAGTTGTGTTGGGACCGAAACGCCTGGATTCTTCGTCCAGCGAATCGTGCGACGATGACACTGTCTTTGCAAAGACGCCAGACTTGAATGAATCTACGAGAGATATTGCAATAAACAATGACTCGTTGATTTACAGTACAAATGTATGATAAGTAACTGTGTCAGTTGCTGCCATGACGAGAAATTTGATTTAAGTACGCAGAAGATATCGACATAGAATGACGAAACGGCGAAGTTACTATAGAAACTATATTAATTTCCCTCGTACTGGAATAGTCAAGGACGCTGTGCAACTTTGAAAGGGAAAAAGTTGGACTATATATTGCTCTATCGCATCGCCCTAAATTATAGCGAGATATTAGTCTAAGTCTAAATACTTTTAAAATGTAACTATTTTAAAATTGTTTTCGTCCCAGGATGTTGATGCGCATAAAATAGCAAGACGTACCAAATGTGCCTGGAAAAGAACAAAGAGAATTGTGCGTATAAAAGACGTACGTGTAAAAGAATTGTAAATAGAACATATAAAATTAAAATGAAGAAAGATATAATTCAAATTATGTGTACTAGAAAAAATGTATCATATATATTGCATATAGTATCACTTCAATATGTCATTACAAAACGGTCCAGCAGGATTTTTGGTGCTTCTTTTATTAGAACTTACAGACTATTCGTACAATTATTACAGTATTTTACAATAGAATAGTCACAAGTTAAATAATTGAAGTGTCGTACACACATCCTACGCCGGTTTTCTTTAATCGCACAACGATAGCATTTTCTTTTCTTGGGCAGTCTATATTGGAATATTTACAAAACGCTCGCCATTTCTGTGCGTTTATACGCAAAATGAATACACCCGTGAAATTTCGTAGCAGTTAGTAGTACTCCATCATTGATTAATGACAATAGTTAATATACAAAATGAGACAAGACAATTTTTAATTTAGATATAAAAATTCGATAGTACTCAGGCATACATAACTGTACTGTTTTTCTTTTATTATTAACAAAATTATTATTTCATTATTTTTTATTATTTATGAAAATATGAAAAAGATATAATAGAAAAATGTAAAAAAGATAAAAAATAAATAAATAGAGAATCAGTGATGTGGTAATGCTAATTCTGCTTACACGTGCGATTCTGATAAATCCCGCGAGATTATTACTTATCTCTGTTTGCCGTCAGGTTATTGTCAGGTAGTAGCAATCCGGACATTTGTTGCTACCGCCATACTGAACGAAATTAAGGATATTGACTCTAAAAATCCGATGTCGCGATTGATACATTATAATCGTAATCATATATACAACATTGATAAAATGGCACAATTCGACGAAACAGATCAATCAGTTGATATTATCATTATCATTAGCAACTACTATCATAATATTAACAATAAACTTTGTACATGATTTGTTAAACGTTACATGGCATAGTTTTAACGGCAGTATAAAAATGAAAACAAGTCGTACAAACATAACAAAAGATTCTGTCTAAATATAACATGATCCATATACAACATATCCAATGTAATGGCATCATCAGAAACATTCGTAATGTAAGATAATTAATATAGTGATGAAAATTGCAAATGAAAGAATTTTCTCCTGATCTTTACATCGTTTGCTTTGGACTCTTTCCTAACGGGCCATACACACGATATTAGTACACTTTTCTATGTAGAAAGTGTGGCAAGCAGATATTATATGCAGATACCTGCCATGAGATTCTTAAAATCTCATGAATTTGTTACAATGTACAATTAGATATGGTCACAGATACAATCAGTATTATTAAAAATATTTGTACATGTAGTTCACATTATTGGAGATGATATATATATATATACGTATAAGTGACAAATAAATATAAAAAAATATACGTATACGATAATCAGATCCCATCGTTATTCTCTCTTGACCAACAAAATCTCCTTGGGTCGATCCAATGTATATTCTTTTAAAATGCAGTAAAATAGATACTGCATGAATATCATTTCGAAACAAGCAATTCAATACACAAATGTAGATTCTGTACATTACTGTAAAAATTACTGTATAAATTATTTGGACTTACCCGCTGAAAGATAAGATTCCTATTTCTATTCTTTACAACATTTATCAATTGCACGATGTATCGCTGTATGCAATACACAATAATCGTGATAAATCTTAAATATTTTCACATATGAATAATCTCGTACAACTTGTCAGCGGGTAGTAATTTGCACAGTGTGCCAAATAATCGTTTATCAATCTAATAATCGCACGAGTTTCAACTCTGATAATGTTTATTATTGCAAATGGGTGTATGTTCGTCAACGCATCCGAGATCGATGAACATTCAAATTCATCTCCAATTCATCATACACACGAAATGTCCGTTTCAAAGTTTTACTCCATTTTATGTGTGTGTATATGTGTGTGTGTGTGGTACATCTATATTAACATCAAAATAATGCGTTACATCAATGTACAAACGGACGCGATCATACATCTTTTGTTGGCCTTTCCACCGCGGATACCAAGAATAAGTATTGTCAAAATATACATAGATTTCTTGTCATCATCATCATCATCGATCTTAAATATGTAACGAGAATTAATATACACTGTATCTCCGAAAATGGTGGGCTTAAGAGAAAAGCTCTCAAAATCCCAAAATCTCACGCTCGCATGGACGATCCGATGATTCGTGCAAGAAGAACGATCGACAAACTGTCTGACTAAAAAAATCTGGCAGTACAATTCATCGATGACCCTTACACATGAAGAATATACATTTCTCAAAACAACGTAATTTGGACAGTCTGGTATCAAGAAAATTGAATTTTAACTTTTTAAAATATTGCATTTATCGCGCGCGCCAAAAAGAGTACTCTTCAATATCATTCGTTACAACACGTGTCTCGCGTTGATAGCAAAAATTCATTTATGCGCTCGGCACATTAGATATTATTTTATAAATGTCTACTATCGTGGACATCTTCCTTGATATACGAAATTTGTTCTTACATCATAAATTTATAAAAAAAGTCTGTCTTTTTTGTAAAGAGATATAGTTTTTTTTGCATAATTTTCAATTCATATGTATTCATCGGCTTTTATTTTGCCTAACTTATGCATGAGTAGATAGAAAGGTGCCTAATTATGATTGCTGGACTAATGAGCGAGTAATATCCCTGATCTCCTACGATGCGGTAACGATGATAATGATACAATAATAATAATACGACAGTAATTAATAATAATAAAATAAAGGAGATAATAATATAAAACTAGTATTATTTGCTTAACAATGATCGACAATTACAAGTCGGACTTTGTAAAGCCGCTTATATGACTAGCTTTTGCAGGGTCTCCAATTACATTAGGCCAGTTCACTGAGATAGGCCAGCATGGTCCTTCCTCTGAAGATGTGAAATCCAGTGGAGTTATGAATGTACAATTACTTTACAAGTCTTCCATTAGCAAGCGATGTATCTCGCTGACAGCGGAAGCGAGCAGCCGGGAAACATTAAAGTTTCATGCAATTGGCGTTTGCTAGGTCATCACAGTGTCGGTGAGGTCTTCCTTCAGCCATTGCGGGATCGTTCTAGACCCAAGTCGCTTTAATAATTTCACTAGAGCCGTGTTGTGGGATAAATAATATCTCTGCAAAAGACATAGCGTTTGCAAACAGACACGATTGTCTTATACAGCAAAAAAGAGAATTTACTACAAGGACTTTACCTGTAATAATTTGTACGATCTATCTTCCATCGGTGGGTATTGGCGACCTTTACTTTTACCGAGACATTTAGTGCGGTCTTCGTTAGTTACTTGACAAAAGAAACCCTTTTTCGGATCGTACCTCAAGTGCGAGGAGTAATTGAAGGCGGGTGTTATTTTTAGAAATCGTTGCAGTTCATGCAGCGTTTCCACGGGGTTTTGCCGTAACTGTTCGCCATCGATGATGTGTAATTGTTGCGGTAAATAGAACGATAACCATCTCTCTAAATGTTGGGCATACTTTCCAGGATTTAGACACCTGCAATCAAATGCAATATCATGTTAAAACTTATACCAGTTAAGATACACGTTATTGACGTTATGTTGCATGTTATGTTAATTAAAATATATATAAAATTATAGGGTGATATAAAGTTTCATGATTTTAGAATTCATCTACTTATTAAGGGGCCTATTCTGTAAACGTTAATGATTATATTACATGCTTGGCGCAGATATGATATACCATAGAAAAGCTATACGCAAAGCACGTAATGATGTCGTTAACGTTTACAAAATAGGTCTCTCACTTTTAATTACTGTTACAAATAGCATCTATTCATACATTATTAGGCGAATAATGAATGTCTTAGGTAATCGTCCATATACAATTACGTACCTATTTCTAAGGTCCCGTAGGGGTTTCGGTGCAGAATCACTCGCTGTGATGACTGCATGGAAGGAGTAATTGTTCGCTACCGGATCTCCATGTACTCTGGTATGCTGGTACCATGAATAAGCACGTCTAGCTGGAGAGAGCAATATGGTGATAAGCTTAGCTCTTGGCAGAAGTGCATGGGCCCTTCGCGGCACTAATTCCCCGTCAAAATAAGTGGCAGATTTCTCAAAAAGGTATCGAGAACTCTCATTTTTTGATGCTGGAAAGAAGCTCATATACCTGAAAAAATAATGTGAGTCATATATTTCTGTTTTATATATAGCAGCAATAAAAATATTCTTGGCTGATCACTTACCAATCAAGACCTTTGTAATAATTCTTTCCGTTGAAAAACTGTATCTCTTCAAAGGTGTCGGGGCTTGGTAAATTGCTGCTTATTGCTGGATGAATGGATAGGAATGTGTACAACGCCGTGGTGCCGGTTTTTTGAGGTCCGATTACTAAAAATCGCGGTAGTTGATCGCAAGTTTTATTACGGGACCAAATCTTCTGATGTCTCTGATCATCACATGGATTCTGTAAAAAAAGATATTGGAAGCTTAATAGTGTTATAGAAGAGCACACAGTCAAAGTTATCGAATATCCAATCCACTCACTCCCCACACCGGATCGGCCTCCTCGGGATATAACTGAAAGTAACGTTCTCCAAGCGCAAGCGGCGGTGCACTAGATAGCCTTAAATTCGTCCAACATTGAATAAATTTTATAACTGACTCGAAAGTATATAACGCCAATCGATCATTTCCATAATTCGACATGTGCGTCATAAAAATATTTATCTAGAAAAAACGATATACCATTAAGATTGTTTAACCGTTTGCCTATATTATTGTAAAAAAATGTGTTTTACATATATATCATTTTCCTACATTAATTCTCATACATTTCAGATGCATTTTTAATATGATATTGATTTGCATATGTACAAAATCAAAAACATATTAAAAATGCATCTTAAATATATGAAGATTAATGCAGGAAAATGAATATCAGGCCGGAAATGTTTAATGATGAAAATAATTTGCTAGATAAATAGTTGTTAAAAGTGAATGGCTATAATACAAAAGATCAAACTAGCCCAGCAAAGATTGATTTCGTAACGGCTGATTTACTCACCGGGTTATATACGATCGTTTGGAAAAGTTCTCCGCCCTGTATCGACTCGTCCAGCTTTTCCCTTCCACCTGGATACCTCTCGATAAAAATCGTGTGAGTAAAAAGGCCACATGTTTGCCTCGGTAGGACCTTGAAGTACATAAAAGAGACGTTTTTATATCCGACAACGTGTATCATCGAATTTATGATTTATAGATATATATCAGAGGAGTTAATAAAATATAAAATAAATAAATATAATATAAAATAAGATCTATGTATGTGTTATATAAAATAACATACTATATATAAATACATATAAAATATTTATTTTGGCAATAAAACTTTAATTTTTCGTAAAAGTTTAGACTCAAATTACATATTGCATCATCCGGTAAAATAACACAATTGCGTTTTACATGCGGCAATATCCATTGGTAAACAAATACTAAATTAATTATTTGACGGTACTGATGATTCAATTTTACGACCGATTACGTGTTTAATATTCATGTAAATTAGCATGCAACAAAATCGAGATTTTCGTATTTCGAAAATTGCGGGATAAACTAATATTCAAATGCACGGTAGATATGTTATTTTCAATAAACGTTTGTATGTGACTCATACAAATACCTATTGGCAATGCTTGTTTTTTTTTAAATATTCAATATGATTGTGGCCGAATTCGGTGTGACTTCGTACCATGATGTTACGATGAATAAAGCCTCGTCTCAAACGAGCCGGCCTCAAATGCGGATATTCTTCCGTGCTCGTGACCTTGATGTTCCACACCCGCTTCCATGCCTCGTAGAGGCCTTCATGAACCGGGTAAACGCCGGAGTGATGCGGACTTACGCTGTACCCGCTTCCGACCGGTATACCGTGGTCCTTTGCGAATTGTTTGTTCAGCGCCATATCCAATTGTAGATGAGTTACATTCTCGTAGAGATGCGGTTGTTGGTGATTCCACATGTGGGAAAACCACGTAAATCTAAAAGACATAAATTATCGATTGTAATAAACATTTTTATCGAACACACTGAGAGTCACGTAAAGAAAAAAAAAACAACTTCCCAAAGCGCGTGGAAATATCCTTTACATTTTTTTTAGCTCGATGTCGACAGTCATAATTAACTGCGAGCATTGTAACGTTTTGTCGCAGGCGATTATGGCAGCATTATAACAAACTGTTGCGTGACGTTATATACGATAAAAGCTGCTACGACGTGACCGTAAATTTAATTTATATTATGTGCTCTATACATAGGTATATGTGCTTCACAGTAATAAATTACATAATTGTAGTAGTCACCGCGCTATAGTTCTAATTAATTAAATTACCTTTAAAGTTATACAAATATTTCGATTCGCGATACAACATACATAATATTGTGTTGATTAATATATATCTATTAATATATAGTTTAGATACACACACATATACACTTCTACTTCCGATATAATTAATATTCTCACCGAATTTATCGCTTTTACGTGATTAATTTTCGGATTTACCTGTCTACGTTCTCCAGAAGCATGTCGTCCCCCAAATTCTCCTCCGCTGTCCCGTGATGAAAATATTTCCCGGAAAACCCCAAATTAAATTTGAACCCCGGCACCAGAGTTTGAATTCTTTGCTGAGTGGCTAGCAACGCCATTACGTCATCCTTTCTCAGCCTGGTGCCTTTCTCGCCGACGAATATATCGTCGACGTCCACCAAGATCATACGATTTAAGCTGAGACTCAATTGCCCGTGCGACAGGTAGGATAACGAGTCCAGCAGCAGCAATTTGTGCAGCCAAAACCGTAGGCCACCGCCAAAGAGAACTCTTTGAATTCCGTCATACCTCCCATGATCCTGTAAAATAAATATATTTTGTAAACCAAGTCCTCTTTTTTAGATCTAAAAAATCCAATTAATAAAAAATTTATCGCGTTGTATGCGGTATAATGTACATGCACTTTGATTTAGAACCGTATGCTCTGTGTGCTGCACTGTAAATATATAAAATTAAACAAAGTCAATTCGCTCGTTACAAGCTAAGCTATAAGTTAAATCACGGGCCAAAGACGAGTCTATAATAAACTTAAGTGTTAAATAATAATTTATATTAATATATTTTAATAATAAAAATTATATTTAATTATCCTGATCTAATAACAAAAATATGTAATTTATCACCAGACCGATGACAAAAAATATATAATTATCCTGATCATGCACATATAAATGGGAATGATTGTCCGATAACGCACTGGCTATTCGCCCCAATTTCTTCCATTCACGTTCTCACATCAGAGCGGTTGTTGAAATTAGTTGGCGTTTTAGTTTCGCGAACGTGCACCGGTTTCGGGACACTATATACGCGAACGCGCGCACATACACACTCTCAGCCGACCTAATCATCGCACGTTAACGAGCATCGTTATTTTTCTCTCAATGGAGAGTACGATAGAGTACGGCGAGTAATCGGCCACGTTCGACGTGTTAATTGCATTGTTCGACGGAAACTCCCCAGCAACTCCGCCGCTTCGGTCATGAACCGGGCTTGTTAGCAGTAAACAACAATAATAATCTCACGGATAATCCCGTCTGTGCGGGAGGTCGGGCGTCGAGATAGATACGCGGATCGCACAGGTAGCCAGGTGATTAAATCAGGAGCCAATCAGCCGTAGGCTCATTCGATTAATGAGCGACTGCGCGATGCGCTTCATTTGCTATACCATTGGAACTACCAATTTATTTCGTTTCGGGGGGTTGGTCCTATCCTACCCGTCGAATAGATCAAACGCCCGACGGCACCGACGACGCAACGAGAGATGAGCGAAAGGTTGTCGAGATATTTTTGAACCATCACGACTGTGAAACGTATACCGTGTATAACGAGTCGTGGGAATCACCGCGGGACTTCAAAGTATTTTTTTTTATTTCCAACTCGCTCTATTTATGAACCATATAGACGAAATTCGTCGCCCAATTAAGAAAAGAATCCTCGTGTTTGCCTCGTCGTATATATAGTACGTTCTAAAAGTTTCCAGCTCAACAATATTAAAAAAATCATGTATAAGAGGGCATCAAGCCGTAACAAGATATTCGTGTTAGGTTCTTTAATCAATTAAATAATTTACATACGTTTCTGCCAATATCGGGCCATCCTCAGTGTAGGAAAAAAGAAATTAGCGGAGACAAGATAATATATTATGAACATTTTCGTAGAACGCACATCACGCAATCGTTATGTCAATGCTGTCGCAAATTAAAACTTAATTCTAAATGTAAGAACGCTAAAAACTTATATTCTACAAAGTGGAAAGCTATTTATCTGTATCACACGAGCAATCCTTAAACAAGCCCTTTGGTGTTCTGTGTAGAGCGTCATGGTGTTAGTGTTATCGTGGTTCGGTTATTTTGAAAATAAAAAGTAATAATTAAGTCGAAGCTGTAGGGGAGGTGATAAAGTGATCTCTGCAGTGTTAAATCATTTTAAAGACAAAAATTCAGATTATTTTTTTTTAAGTATAACAAATTTCTTTATTATTCTAAAAAATGTATTGAAATAAAGAGTGATTATATTGAAAAATAAAAATAATTGTTTTATTTTATCATCTTTTTTACATCTTTAGATTAGAAACTTTTGGATCTTACTACGTATATTAGTCTGATTACATAACGCATAAATTCAATTTCACATTGTATTTTCATTATGAGACTTTACACAAAACAATTCAAAATTCATAATTTCTCATCTAATGAATCAGTCTCTCTGTTTAACCAAAACGTCGAGACTTCTGAGTTATAAATGTTGGATTTAAGTTTGAGATCTTCTGAATACCTAAATATAAAAGAAAACTCGAGATACTTTTTCACATTTATTCTTAAAAGTCAGCCGTATTGGCGTAACGCGCGAAATAAACTAGATGCACCGTCAATTGGTACCACGGACGGGAAAGTTAGCAAAAAAAACTCCTCGCATATATCTCATAAGCTCTGTCTCGCTGGTACAGAGACAAAACGGTTGAGTGTGAGATATGCATTCCGGGTGGATGCGGAAAAACGTCGCCGCGCCGGTACGGAACGCGCAAAACATCGACAAATGCAGCGCGTGTATTCGCGCTCTTCGTTACATCAGACGGTATCTCGCGTGTGCCTGTCCGACGAGAACGTCGTTTCCTTTATATCATCCGCAATTCGGCGGCTCCTTCGAGTGTCTGCGCGCGTCCTCGCGTTTTTCGCGTTACACCACTACCGTCGTCGTCGTTGTCGTCCTACTTCTCTTTTCTCCGTCTCTCTTATCCCACGTCCGTTACGTCCGGAATCTTGCAGTTGCGAATTCCTGCACGAATGTAAAACGCTGGCCGGGACGGCTTTACGAATTGTTTCAGTTTACCTCCACCAACTGCAGATCCTTTCTACATTTCCTCGTTTTTTTTCCGTCTCCCTCTTTCTCGCGCCACCGTTCCTTCCTCTTTCTTTCTCTCTTTCCCTTCCTCTGGTCTCCGTGTACGTGGCCACGAGCCGTATCGCGGAAATTCCACATTTGTTTTCGTTTTCCGGCGCCGTCGCTGGCAGAGCAGGAAGAATCGCCAGGACGAGAGAAACAGCGGAAAGGAAAAATGTAGGGAGGTGAATGAGAAAGTTACATACATATTCGCGGTTTCTATTATTAATACAAGATAATTATCATGGAGAATATAGCGAAAAAAGGTCACCCGTTCCTGACGAAGTCATATAAATTCCAATATTTATAAAAGGAAAGGAAACAAATGAGAAGAAACATGGTTGGAATAATAATGTAACTTAAAATGTGAAATAAAGAATAAGGTTTTTTAATATTTTTCTGTGTAGTTTGTTAACTCTTCAAATATCTCTTTGCAAAAAAAATTTATTAATCAGAGAAACAATTCTTAAAAGAGGAAGTAAAAGATATCTTAAAATGTTTCTTCTTACCTAAAAGCATATTTTAAAAATCTGAATCTTCTAAAAAAAGAGTTAAGAGCAATGAAAGACGAAGCTATTTTTAGCGCAACATGATATTTGGCAATTATTTTCTGCTGGAAACACATACATAAGCCCTTATCACATCGACCGATGGTTAACGTAAGAGGAGGGCGAGCTCGCTCTTATCGTGCGACGTTCGAGAGAGAGGGTCCGTGGAAGACTCTTCTCCTCGGCAGAAATACTCACGCCGGCACAAGCGCGGAATGAAATCACACTGTGCGTATTGTTCCAAGACCTTCCTTTTGTTCTGTACCCCTTGCGAACGGCGGTTCTTACACAGCCACTCAGCTTCTTGTTTCCTGCCCGGCCGCCTTGCCTCTTTTCTACCCTTCATTACACGCAACCGCAAAGCGAAGTGACGCATCTGAGAAATTCCGCGTTTCTAACTCACTCATTTTTTCACCGTCAAGATTTAGAGAGAGAGAGAGAGAGAGAGGCAAACCACCGTTTTTGAAAATGTGAATTTTTAACCGAATTGAGAGCTCTTTAGTAAGAAAGATAAGTGCACGAATAATGCATCTTAGGATCGCTTCGTAATTCGTTCATGGCGATTACTTTGAGTTTGTCACCGACATAACAGGCCGGTCGTTAAAAATTATTGCGCTCCTTGTATCTCGTTCCGCGAACGACGAGGATCAAGGAGACTAAAATCGGCACGCTTGCGATATATGCGGTAATAAAAACGAGCTCTCGTGAGACTCGCGCGGGCTTTCGCGGTGAACAAGAAGGGATTTTATTTTCCCAAACGTGCCCATGCGAGTATAAATGTCGAGTACAACTATTTCGCGGATTGTTCGTGTATATCTTCTCTCCCTGCCGTCATATCTTTCCTACCATCTCCACGGGATTCTGGTTCCCTGCACTCTTTCAGAGCAAAGATTGTTCCATCGAAATACCGCGTGCGTTTTCGTTTTTCGAGATTATCTTTGTAGCCGGGAAGATAAGAGCCAAGCGCGCACGAAGCTGCATAAGTTAATAAGGAACGTTCCCAAAGGACACGTTCGAAGCTTTGTGTAAGTATAATAATAGGGACTGGAGTTCAAAGCCAGTGTTCAAAGATAATATAACTTTGGCTTGATATGTCGCGGATTCTACGATTTCCTCGGTTTGTTCATCGCGAAAGCTCCCTCGTTCTTACATTTAGTCCTAAAGAGCATCTATTACCCTTGCACACCGACTACACGCTAACGGAATTCTAACGCAGCGGCGCGTTAGGTGCGCGATAGGCGAGAGAAAGAGAAAATGATTTAAACGTTCCCCGGTCGCGCCGAACGGGTAATAGGCATGAGCGCGCGAGTCCTGGGTGCATTAATTCCGCAGTCGTCCGAGTTGTCCGGGAAGGGATACGTGACCGGAATGTTCGGCAAATAAAGTGCACGGGCTCACCTGGATGACAGTAGCCAGGGGACTTTTATTGGCCGGATAGTCGAGGCTGTCTCGATATGCCCAAGCGAGCGGCTCGTAGGTGCTGTGATTGGCCTGAAAAATAGTCCAGTCACCGCCAGGAAGTGGTCCCCAGGCCGTTTCCCCCGATCTGGTTAATCGAAGAATGGGAGACGCCGCATTCAGCTGAGCATCCTGAGGGAAGAAAGAGCGACCTGATTCTATGCGGCCCAAGCACAAAAGTTCTCGCTCTCGCTCGTCGTCGTGCCGGATTCCCTCGCTTTCGGGGAAATCAAATTTTCGGGGGCATCACGCGCGCTTTAGCGCTTTGTTAAAAGAGGATTTGTTCGGACCAATGCGCAATTTTATATTCAGAATCATCGCGCGCAATAATATTTCCTATGAAATATGCGAGGCTATGAAATGTGATAATAATTACGTAAAAAATTATTTAAAAATTCATAAGATATGTTAATATAACGGTAAAAGGAAGGTAAATCGAAATTTTGAAAATTGTTTCAAACATTCCCCAGGTTTCAGATTGCGTTTAATCCACGCGCTCGGAATAATCCCGATTTTATATAATTTATCCCTGCAAAAATAAAATTAATTTCAAACACGTTCATTTAAATACGTCGAGAACATTTATAAAATCGCTTTGCGGTTATGCGGTTTTATTTAAAGAGAAATGACATATTTCGTGCTCGATGAGTATGAACAGCACTAGTTTTGTCAGCCCTTTTTCCGAGAGCGGCACGAGATCGTTACTCACGAGATATATGCCACGCGTTCGAGGCACGATCGATGCTCCAAACTTTCAAGAAGATTGCAACTTATTTCTCATTACGAACATTGCGGTAATAAGATAACTGCGATAAGATAACAAGCTGCGGATGATTGATATCACGGAATTAAATATCTAATGATTAATCATTAACATGATTCAAGATATGTGGTTACAGTATAAATTAACACAATTGCGCAATAGTGCTTTTCAAGCGAAACATATAATATCGATTACTACACTCAGCCCTAAAGCTATGAGGATTATTCTTTTCATTGCTCCCTTTTACGAGGGTTTTTTCCTCGTTTCGATATCACTTTCCGTGATACAAATTTAATTGCAGCCATAAAGATTATCACACAGATTTTCTATCATCATGGCTTTCTTAGACAATCCCTAGTATTGATTGTGAAAGACCACGATAAAAATATCCTCAGTCCTTATATTTTACTTTTAATAATACAATTAGGAGATACAGTCTTCTACGTGTCAATTTGGCAAAATTAAATAAATTATAACATAAAATTATATTATAAAGAAATATATTTATAAAAGATAATACGTACAAAAATATAAAATCTTAATAAAATTTAAAAATAAATGTAAATTGTGAAAGATTTTGATATGTCTAAAAAAGAAGTTACAGTATGTAACAGTATCTAGAGTTTGAATATCTAATATTAGAGACTGACCTTCAATCTAAGATTAGTATGTATAAAAAGTGGAAAGCCCTTAAGCTGAGCACCAACAAGACTCTCCTCTCCTGGAGGGGCAAAACCGACGATGCCAACTGAATATTCCCTGCAATATTTGTCGAGTAGCTCACGATTCCATTTGTCCATCTGCAGGTACTTGTTTAGATTCTCGAAGATCAGCACCCCGTACCGACCCTTATCGAGATTCGTCAGCACCGGTAAGGACTTACCGGCCACCTCCACTTTGTACCTGAAAGCATCAGTAATTTTTCGTATTTAATAGCCTGTAAAATTCAACATTTTTTCAAGTTGAAGGAAAATTTGTATTATTAAAAAATGGAATGTTTTTTATCATTTTCATTGAAACTGCAACACATTAATTCATAACGCAATGTACTCTACCGAATATTAAAATATTTATTGAAAATTTTTCATTACATTTCATCCAAAGATTTTTAATATTTTTATAAATGGAATTTTCAATAAAAGGAGAAAATCATAAGTTTCTACAATCGCGGCTTTTTAATACGGAATGATTCAATTGTAATAAGATATAGGTACTACAAATATAACAAGTTTTGTGATGCGCCAAGTACTTTTTCGAAAGTGCTATAATTTTTGCGGATATATCGCACGCCCTACATTTACCGTTTCCGGATGCCATTAAAACTGCAGCAATATATATTCTGCTAATCGCCTTCGGGGTCCCCGTGCTTAAGAATTGAACATAGAGGAATGTGGACTTTTGCGAACTTCGCTTAGGTGCGCATTATTCTTACGGGGTTTATATATAAGTCAAGGGGAAAAAAAAGTTTTGTTAACGTGTTCTTTAAAATGGAATAAATTCTCTCCTGCTCCCCCGTCTTTCTTCCACCTCGCCAGTAGCTGATACTTTACAGGATCGTTCTCTCTCTTTTCCTGCCAGCGCAAATATTTCACTGCAAATATTTAGACGTGAATGCCACTCGTGTAAGATGCCGCCGTTAACGTGTGTTTTGACAATTTCAATCCAATGGCGTATCGTTTAAAGTGCGAGCCGTAGTAAATAGAAGTAAAATGGAATATCGATAAAAGAAGCAGTCCGGGGGGAGAAGCCGTCGGTATTATTAAACGATAAAACTCAGACACTTTATATCGAAATTCCATTTATGTAGCATTCAAAAAAATGCTCCGCGAATAATAAAGCAATTACACATATGATACATCGCTCTCTTTTACATCGAGACATTCGGGAGATTTATTACATTTTTTTTTTCACGAAATTATATCCCGACACCGTTGAAGCTGTCTTCCGTTGCGCGCTTCAGCCTTATCTGAATTTTTATTTCCAGTGTACCCTCCCAATCGCAAAAAAAATTCGACAGACCATACTTCTGTCCTGTACGCGATAAAATGATTTTATTGCGGAAATAAACTGGCGAGGCTTCTCTCGTCGACCGTACCGATGGATTTCTCTCATATCCTGTCGCGCGTCGTAAAGAGGTGGCGCAAATATCAGATTTATTGGAGATGTGCATTCCGATAAAAAAATTTAACAAAAAAAGAAATAAATAAAAAAAGAAGAGAAATGTACCGGCTGCTCAATGGCAAGTCCATGTTCAATTTTTTAGCAGATTTTTCGGGGAATGGAAAGCATATACCTATCGCTCGTAAAGTCGCGATAAAATAAATATTCAATGGCTGTAGTAGGTAAAGTTGTGCTGTTTGTTATTTGTAATATATCGAAACTAATGCTATATATATGTATATATGTATATATATATATATATATATATATATATATTGTTACGTCCTACGGATATCACGATTTCCCTTTTTCGCGGGAATTCTTAAGCACTTAAGATATCCCTTAAGGTAGGATAATAAACTGAGCACGGACGGTTATCGATCGGCGAGTGAGCTTAGATCTTCTCACATTCCTTTTTTTTTATGCAACTATAATAGCTATTTGCCTAGGCGACGAAGCGACCCTCCAGAGTATTGACAGACGAGGCATACGTGATCGAATTTTGTCTATCAACCTTGTCTGGCCCATAACTATAAATCCGGCGTCACGACGCGCCAAAAGGGCCTGAATCCCAGACAGAGTTGATAAAGATCTTTATTGCATCGAGCGAGCTTTCTAAAATTTGCTCGTACGATGGTTCCGACAAACAGAGACAAAGCCTAGGACGTGCCTGTGGCGAAAGTTCTGTTTGGCTTGTACCTACTATTAAGATTGAGAAGTATGCATCGTCTGTCGACATAAAAACAGGGTCGCGAGATAAGTGAGGAACCCCAATAAAAGAGAAATCGGCGATAGCCGAAAAACAAATGCGTCACTGGAAGAACCGATAGGTTACACCCCCAATAAGACAGTGGGGGCCTTACCAGGGAGCTCACCAATGGAAAACCGGAAAAATCGATAACCGTCTCTAGCTTTCTAGGATAGGCATAAACTTAAAATCTATCTCTTGGGTGAGAAACACCTCGCCCAATAAGAATTCCCTTAAATAGTAATTAGAAACATCCTGCCAACCAGAAATCCTTTAAACGAAAACCAGACACATCCCACACGAAATCCACCCCTTCCATCCTTCGAACCTTCCTATTTAAATCGCGACATCACAGGACTCCCTCTCAGAGAAATTTTCTCAGTCTTCCAAGTTTTAGTCTGCATATTGTTGCGTCTACCTAATTGCTCGGTATTATAATCGGGATTTCATTCGTTTCGAGTCTCGACTCCACGTTTAGAGTCAGTGCAACAGATCCGACGAACCATCAGTCGCCCCGACTCACCCACCGACGAGTCCAACGTCCATTTCGGAGAGAATCCCAACGACCAAGAATTCATCAAAGTAGTAAGTACCGTAATTCTCTTGATCCTTTCCTTTTTCGCGTTATCGCCCTCCTTCTCAAGCGGTCTATCGATTGTCGGATCCCCAAAAGCTTATTATTTTGGGTCGATCGGTGTAGGCATAGGGTTCGCGGCGGTCGTTGGCGTTGTCGCGGGTCTGGCTTGACTCCCGGCGTCTTCGTCGCTGTCGCGAATTCAGCCGGTTCACTGTCACCCCGTGATCGTCGCGGGTTTGGGTCGGTCGGTGTAGGCATCAGGTTCGCGGCGGTCGTTGGCGTTGTCGCGGGTCTGGCTTGACTCCTGGCGTCTTCGTCGCTGATGTCGCGAATTCAGCCGGTTCACTGTCACCCCGTGATTGTCGCGAGTTTGGGTCGGTCGGTGTAGGCATCAGGTTCGCGGCGGTCGTTGGTGTTGTCGCGGGTCTGACTTGGCTCCCGGCGTCTTCGTCGCTGTCGCGGACTCAGCCGGTCCACTGACGCCCCTGAGCTCGTGACGATTTCCTTTTGTTCGCTTCCGACCGGGTCCGAGAGAGATCGACTAAATAAATAAATAATTTTAGTGAATCCGAAAGTCCTACCCCTTCGAGGACAGAATCTCCGCACGATCAAGCGAAAGAGAAATCGACAGAACAAGCGGGCGCGACGGGAAGTTGAACTCCCCCGGGAGCAGCTCAACGCCGGTCCTCCGCGACTCGCCATTCCACCGCCTCTACCAGCATTTTCGGAGGAACCCTGTTCTTCACAGCAGAATCGCCCCGTTGTCGCGCTTTCTCGTCCTGTTGTCCTACCATCGCGCCCTGTTACCGGACCTTATCGCCCTGTTTGTCGCGTGGCCCCTTTTCGCGTGGTCCCCGTCATCCCCGATCCCGCCTCCTTACTAGAACCACCCGATTCCCCCTCCTCTTCCCGAAGTCCGTCCTCGACCTCCTCGACCGCCTCAACTCTCGATCTCGAGAAAGTAGGCGATCCCGAGACCATAACATTAGATTAATAACTATGGAATAAATTTGATTTATTTTAATTTTTACACGTTTTAAATTAGTTAATTTACATACATATACAACACCTTATTTTTAATTGCGGCTTAATTTAGTTTTCAAATACACAACATACACGCTCACACACACAAATGACATTCATTCCGCTTCCATTCATTTATCTCAATTGCCTCACAATTTCGATGTCACTGCCAAGTACTATTTTAATGTAATTAATGTTCAGTTTTTCTCAATGTTACCAACAAATATTATTTTTATTGTAATAAATGTTTAGTTTGTTTTAAAATTAAATTAAATGTTCTTCATTATTATAAATAAGACCTCACACCTCATAATCACCTCTCGAAATTGCACGAGGTCCGATCCTAAGTTAAAGGGATTAAATTCCTTGACTTAAAAGAGGACCGATCGCACCGCTCACGGAAGGCGTTCTAGCGTCTCTACGGACGTTGACCCTTCCTGAGCCATCGAAAGTGCGTTCGGCTCGCGTCACGCGCCTCAGAGCGTGTACCTGCGAGCGAAATTTCTTAAGCGTCTAGTTGCGTCCTTCCTTACCCCGACCCCTCTGGTTAGCCTTTCCTTTGCTTCCCAGATTTTCTTATCCTAATCTCGGGGTTGGACGTAACAATATATATATAAAATTTATTATTCTCGAACGAGCCATTCGGTTTTTTTAATGGTTAATAGCCGGACTAGAGAATCACGTTAGATCATCTATAATAAAATGGTAAGTGATAAATATTTTAGGCGCATTAGTGTTAACGATAAATATTAGATATTGCTTCGACTTGCTTGGAACTGAAATTATCCCGCTGCATGAATATTTGCCAAATAGTTCCAATCCTCGACTTTCCGCAATGTATGTACATACATGAAGCTTCGCCAAATGAAAGGGAAGAGCACGGGAAGAAAGAAGACAGTACGGTATCGTGCAACCGCTGGGTAATATTGTCGTTAAAAGATGGCAAACAATATTCGGAGTATAGCAAACAGTTTTAGATTGTGCATGCATGACATAACTGGAAAACCCACCAGCGGTTCATGCGGATCAATATCAACGATAGTTTGGGTATCTCCTATTTGTGTTTAACATTCAGGACTGATTCTAATCGCGTATATACATATATATCAACGCGTTAGCATGCCAGAACGCCAGATTGCCGTTATCCCGAATGCAAAATAGTCCTGATACTGTCGATCTATAAAATGTCCAGTACATCGGATTTGTTGGTATATTATAGAATAATATTCTTGTTATTGCGATTTCTTCACCAATGATAATAATAATAATTTTACTGCAGATGATATGAAATGTTATACATAAAGACACGAGCAGCACCTCTCAAGCTATTAGAGAGCACTGAGAGCAGCAATAAAGATAAAGCGTCAACAATGAGAAATCTCGACAAACCTTCGA